GTTAATTTATATATATATGTGTGTATGTTTGTATATGTTTATCTGTAACTATGTAAATTAGGGTCTCAGATTGGAGGGGGAATTTTCTTTATAAGTTATTGCACATTTGCTATGCGAAAACTTTCGCTCTTTTCTCACTATTTCTTATTGTTTTATACACACATTCTTTTGTTGGCAGTTGCTTTACATCATAATTTATTGTTCGTTGCATTTTAGTTTTTTCGTGGCTGGCAGATTCTTAGCTCTATACTATGATCAATATTTATACAGTAAAGTATGTATAATAATATCTATATGTAAATGCTTGATATACCGTTTAGATTTGTACAAAGTTGTTGATAAAATCAGTGATATCTTATATATATAAATACTCGGAATATTTGTGAGCTGGATAATGTAGTAGGAAAGATAAAAACTAGCCGGATAAAGTAGATAAATATCATGTACAAGAAGAAGAGAAAAGAGAGAAAAGTTAAAAATTGTTGTCTTACCAGCTCACATTACAGCTAATTTAAATGCCCAGAACCCTCAGGGTATAGTCAATATTTCTTGTATATGTGTATGCGTGTCTGTATATATGTATGTAGTATTTATCGATATGTCTATTTACACAATTTGCCATTGAAACTCGATTTCAAACGCTATATAGACGCTGTGCATTGCCCGGACGCGCCTTACCCAGCCCGAAGAAGTTCCAGACGCGCCTCAGGCAGCCCGGCTTCTTCTCGGGCAGCAGACTGAGGCTCTGCTCCTCGAGTATGGTGTCCAGGATGTAATAGCTACTCAGATTCAGCGGCGGCGGCGGCAGCATTGGAGGTGGTCATGATATTGTGCAATTCTTGCTCTCGTGCATAATGGCTGGCATTGTTGCAGACGGAGCGCCCAGACAGCTGCCGGCCGAGCTGCCCAGCTGGCCATTGTTGTCGCCCGACTGGGCGAGCTTCTTCTTGCGCTCGTAGGCCAGCGCGTCGTTGGGCACGTAGGCGACACGCACACCACCGTAATGCTTGCGTGCGGGCAGCCGGTACACATAGTCGTCCATGTCGCTGGAGGAGCTCGAAGAGCAAGTGGAGCAAATGCTCGCCACATCGCAATTGTCCAGATTGTTAAGCAGATTCAGTGCACCGCTGCCGGCTTGGGTTTGGGCATTGTGCAGTCGCAGATTCGTCTGATTAATCTGCATCTCCGAGGAGCTGCGCGATTGATTGCGCCGCCGGCGACGGCGTCTCGCATTCGAGTTGTCCGTGTAGCTCTTCGAGCGGGACATCGTGTCCTGCACGCTGTGGAAGCGCACTTCCTTCAGCGGCGGCCGATTGTCCAGCTGCTGCTGGCCGTGCTCCTCCTTCTCGTTCTGCTTGGCTGCGAAGAGCTGCTCGTAGCCATCGTGCGGCAGCTCCAGCTCACGCACCGACTCATTGTCCAGCTCCAGCTCGTTGCCCAGCTCCTGGGTGCTCTGCGTCATGTCCGAGTTGCTGGGCGAGTTCAGATTGATCTTGTCTATGCTCTGATAGCTATGCGAGTCCTCCGCCTTGGACAGCAGCATGTCTGGCATGGAGGATGTCAGCTGCGTGTCGCCAAAGATCGACTTGTCACCCGAGCAGATATTGTCCAGGCTGATGCCCAGCTCCGTCAGATCTATGGGCGGCGGATGGGCGGGTCGCGGCATGCCAGGCACACAGCCACCCAGCAGCAAATCGGCCACGCCCGCTGCCTCCATACGCTTGCGCTCCTGCCGCTCCAGCAAGTCCCCGGCGCTGCCCGTGCTCTTGCCACCATGTCCATGTCCATGGCCATGGCCATGCCCATTGCCCACCCCAGTCTTGCCACGCCCCGCCGAGTCGGCTGTGCGTCGCGGCGAGCGCGCGATTTGACTGGAAGTGGAGGCGCGATGCGTGGGCCGCAGCTGTGGACCGGAGCTGGTGTCCGAAGGCGTTGGCGGCTCGCCCTTGCTGCACGCTATCGAACAGTAGATGGTGCCACGGCGCGGCAGAAACGGACGACCCAGCAGCGAGCAACGGCACGTGCAGCAGGAGAAGCACTGATCCGTCGCATGCCAATGCTGGCCATCGTGGCTCATCTGGCCCTGATCCACACCAATGACCTCGCCGCAGTAGTCACAGTACTCGGCGAACATGGTGTCAAAGCAGCCCAAGCAATACGGCTTGCCCTCGCGCATTATGTAACGCTGGCCGCCCAGCTGGTGCTCGCACTCCTGGCAGGCGAAGTGCTTCATGTGCCAGGTGCGACCCTCGGCCTCCGTGCACTCATCCGAGAAGATGATCTGTGTGGTGGATGAGAAGAGCAAGCGAGATGGTAGCGAGTGAGTAAGAGTGAAATATGAAAATCAAGAAAAATATCTAAAATATATATAATTATTTATATATAGAGCGAATATTATAATTCTAATTTCAAGTTGAGCCTGTTCCAGCACTCAATCAGTTATTCAGCTTCGTTACTCACCTCATCGCAAGCGGAGCAGCGCGGCTTCTGGGTCTCGGCATGATGTCGGCCACAGTAGAGATTGCCATCACGATGGAAGTATATCAAGTCCATGAGCAGCTCCTTGCACACACTGCACACAAAGCAGCCGGGATGCCAGCAGACTTGGGCGCCCAAGCGCTGGGCAAAGACCACAATGTCACCGCCGGAGAGCTGTTCATTGCACTGCAATGAGAAGAGAGAGAGAGAGAGAGACATTAGATATATATCGTATAAATAACAAAAATATGCTAAAGTTCTGCACGGGGAGACAGCGTGGCGATAGAAATCTGCAGCGTCTGCTTTGGTTGGGCAAAATATTTAAGCGACTATAAATGCTAAATAACGGTAATAAAACGCTTAAGCCCCCCAAGCGAGGACATGGCACAGAACCAGCACGAGAACAGAACGCCGAGCACCCCCTTCCTCAACCATCCCTCCCTCGCCCGCGCCCTCACTCTCACGATTACTTTGTGGTTTTGCTTTTTCACAACGGAAATAATGCAAAAATAGCTGCCGGCCATGTGCCCGGCCTCGTCGCAGAAGTGCTCCCTAGAGAGTGGAAAAACCAGAGACTTTAAACTGTTTGGATAAAACACGGAGCACGAAACACGAGAAAAGGCCGCAAGCAAAATTCTGGTGTCGGTGTCGCACTCGCAATACGAGTAGGAGTCAAAGTTGGAGCAGGAGTCCAAGTAGGAGTTGCTGCTGCTGCTGCTGCTCTGGCTGTTGTCACGGAACCAACCCAAACGGAAGCGCAGTTTTAATGACTCAACCTCAACTCGTTAAAGTTGAAGCAATTCGCATAATGAACTCATTTACGTAGAGCAAGCAACGTAATAGGGTCAAGAGAGCTAATGTCTTCGTACGCCGCTTAAGGAGAATATGTTTGCTTTCCCAGAAAGAAAACTTCCCTGAGGGATATAGGATTCCTAGTTACTTGGAACTGAAGCAAATGCGGAAGAATATGCGGTAAACAGGCTAATGCGATGGCGATGTAGTATGAGAGCGTTATTAATAGATTCAACAGTATAAGAAAAGTGGGCTTAAATAATACAAATGTTGCCAAAAAATCGACATTGAATACATCACATTGAAATATATAAAATTGGATCTACCGCGAGCAACTTTTTTGGCTCTAATACTTATAACAAATTGATCTCTCTAGTAGCTAAAAATAGAAACATTTAAGCTAACAAGATAATTTGAAATTCCGTTATATTATAAGCTCCTGAATTTCTGTAGCATTTTGAAGATTTATAACTTCTTACACTGAAAAAAAAACTAGTCCACTTCTTGGATGTATCAAATAACAAATTTCTTTTCGACTAATGAAAGCTTCTGAGCTGCAGATTATGAAGTTCATAATTGAAATAAGCTCTTAATTGCACTGGAAAAAATTAGGCATTCGGAAATAGTATTACTATTATGCTAAGCCCATGAGAATCAGGTTGTAAGTAGAATACTCTGCTAATATCATTCCCACGAATACATTAGTTGGCATATCTGACAAATATAGGGAATTCCATTAGATATCTCCATTTCTAATAAGTTCTAGCTAACTTTTTAATAAGTTCTAGCCAAGTCAATGTCTTTGTTGTAGCCGAATATCCAACATTTTATTTCATTTCGGAAACCTATTTGCCACGTCTTAGAACCTTTGAGAAGGAAATCCCCCAACTTCGTTCCATTTTATGAGCATGCAAAGCAATTAACGCAATTGCCCTGATTTATGAATGCTATTTCGGTGGCCCACGCCAAAAAAGTTGTGGCACATGCGAGGCGGCAGCCATTTTGCGGCCAGCCAGCCCTTAGGCCCCAAACCCTTTTGTTAGTCGCTGAGCTTTTAGCTACGACAAAAGCCGTCGCCAATTTGCGCCATTTTCGTTTCAGCTAGCGTTTCCTGTACTGGTTTGCTCACCCCCCCCCCCCTCCCAGCCCACGTCCACAATTCGCGCACGCAAATTACCCCAGCAGGGCCGCAAAAGCCACAAGACGTTGCAAGGACATTGTTGGAGTGCTGTGGAGTGGTGGAACTGTTGACTAGGCTGCTTGCAGCTTCTTAACTTTCCAGGCTATTAAACCTCAGTCGGATGCCAGTCGGTTGGTCTCCACCTCCCCTCACCCCACACCCCACGCCCGCAATCAACATTTACTTTTGCAAGCCATTAAACATTGACAGCCAGTACCTCCCAGGCGCCAGCCTCAGCCCCATCTCCAGTCTCTGCTGACAGGGCTGATAATTTCCTTGGCCTGACAACTTGGCCCACTGCATGCGTCGTTAATTGTTGCCAGCTTCGTCTCTTTCTCATCCCCTTCACACTGGCAAAAGCAGCCACCACGCACTTTAATTAGGCTCCATACCAGGCCCAGTCGCTAATGATGTATTTTTGCGCATCCTGTTGCGGTTGAGGCTTACTTCTTTCTCTAGTTACTCTTTTTCGGGGCCAGCACTTTGTTGTGGCTTAGACAACTTTTGGCCGGAACAAGTGCACTAAGTAAGTAAAACTTACTTATTCTGTGGCCAAACTAAATTGCAAGTGCAAAAGTTTTGCCAGTTCCATTTGCCATGTGTCCACTTAAAAGGACATTTTTCAGGATTTGCGCCACTGCTGCTGCTGCTGCTGCTGCTGCCAAATGTCGTGTGTTTAACAGCAATCGCTGCTCATTTATCTTATCAATCCAATTAATCCCAGTCGCCCGTCGCCAGTCGCTAGTCGCCATGCAATTGATGAACCCTGAACCGTGGAGTCCTCCAGCGCTGCACTGCAGACAATTATGCTATTGACAAATTGTAGCTGGCTGCCACGCGGAGGCGCCACCTGGCTAACAGCCCTAGCTGGCTGGTCCTGTTCGTAACCCATTTCATGTGTCTGTCCTAATCCCAACTTTGGCGCTGTGCCCGACAAACTTTGCAGCACAAACAAGCAAGACAATTTCCTGCCCAATTCTCCTCTGCCCCGCCTTTTTCATTTATTCACTCTATCGCGCTCTCTCTCGCTCATTGCACAGTGCCTTCAAATTATTAATGACGCTCGTTATCGTGCCCTTTTCAGTACATAAACTTTTTGCTTAACAGGCACAGCGAGGCAACAATATTTGCCAGCTACCTTTTATATGCACTCCCCCAGTTCAGTGGAAAAAAAGTGAAATATATTTCATGGCATTTTCTTAATAATTATTTTGTATTTCATCGTTGCCGGGACGACCTTTAGTGTCACATCCTTGTCAAGCTCGGCTGTCACATCCGCTCAGCGCTCGACAGTTGACTCCATTGTTGTTCGTGTGGAAAATCGGAGCTGGCCAAATCATTTGCCAACTCTGGTCCTGGCTCTGTCTCTGTCTCTCATTCTGACTCTGACTCTGACTCCGTGTCCCTGACCCCGACTCAGATTCCAAGTTTGACGCACGTTTCTGGCCTTGTGCTGCGACTCATTTACGCTTGACTGAATATGAGTGCTTTTTGGCAGCATCAGCAGCGACAGCAGCGAACGCAGCGGACGCAGCAAGGGAGTAGACATCATTCAGGCTCATTGAGCGTTTTCATAAATTTCCTTTAAGCATAATTTCTGCTTGGCTATCCTCCACGCTTTTCCCTTTACAGAGCCCCGCCCCGCCCCGCCCAGCCAGTTCCAGTGGGCGGCATTCGCTTTGTTCACATTTTAACCTTCGTTTAGCAAGTCGCAGTTATGGTTTGTGAATTTTAAGTAGCCGACCTCTGTGCTGTGAGCACTGGCTCTGGCTCGTCAGTTGCTGCTCATCACATTTAATCTGACTTGGCTTATCAGATTTCATTAATATGGCATTCATCTGTAGTTGAACTCGAATGCTTTGAACCGAATAAATATTCATTTATAGTTGGCTAAAAGGCAGGAATTTTGATAGACGTCAAGCTGAATCAACTAATTGAATCTATATAAATATTTCTTATAGAGTATATGCACTCTCAATATTTTACTTTTTACTCCAATTTAACTCTACTCTTCCTCAATTCCTTCAATAGAATCTTCAGAATTTATATCTTACGTTAATCTGAGTTGTATTAGCAAAGTTACGCAAAAACAGTTTACACACGTGCAACGGTAGCTTCAGATTAAGCACACTCATTAAGCAACCGCTATATACCAAACTTATTTATGACTATCTAACGGTATTTCGTTTATTTCTTTTCTATTTTCGTTTATATAACTCTCTCCCTCTCTCGCTCAATTTATTGCTTAACTCTAACCAAAATAATTATATAAATACCGCGATAATAGCTACATCAAAAATTGGTTAAATATTTTTCACTTTTAATTTACAACATATCTTTGGATTTGATTGCGTTTCTAGTTATTACGATAATATCTGTATGCCCATAAAAATTTAATTGATCATATTTCTCAGAAAATCATATATATTTTTTCTTATTTGCTCACGAAGTATGCACACTTTCCTTTAAGTAATCAAAATTGTCGCCCATTATAGAAACTTCCCAACTTTTAATGCCCAGCGAAGTCTGCGGCAGGTAAACTTTCAACTGTATAACTTACAGTGGTAAAAGTCGAATCATAAATAACTAAACTATCTTATAAGGTAAGCCCTTGAATCATTGATCAAAACATATGAAATCAAATATGTGACTGCACTTTGGCATTAAACATGAGTGGAGAGGACAAACTTGGCTTGAATTGAAAACTTCGCACGCTGTTCGCGCGTCTTGTCTCTCTAATGAACTCTGAACCTGGCGTTGGCCCGGTCCAGTGCTGGCCCTGGTCCCGGTCCTGTCTGCCATATAAGTCGTTGCGGCAAGGCGTAATAAATGCAACTTGGCTGCCAATTTGGTCGTCGTCTCCCACCGACCAACAAGGCAAAGCCCAAGCCAAAACCAAAGAAAATCACTGGAAAAACTTGGGCACAACTTTAATGCCAGGCAACACCTCCGACGAGCCGCAACGCCCACGCACGTAGCAGACAGAGAGGCATCTGGCTGGCCAAGGGGTGCGGTGGGGATCGGACAAATGGATGCTGCAGTTGCTGCTGCATGTCCAACCCGTTGCCTAGACTCAGGCTCAGACACAGACACGCAGCACTGCGTGGCAGCATGCGGCATAAACTTTTTAATAAGTTTTACGAGTGGCGAATGTGAACACAATAAAATCAAGCTCCACAACTATCTGCGGCAGACAGTGGGAGCTATGGATCGACAATGGCGACGGTAACGGGAACAGCATCGGGATACGGGATCAGGGTTATGGAATATGGTATGCAGCAGCAGCAGACAGGCCAAGTTGAAAGTTGAAGCTGAGTTGGTTAGCCAGCACGCACTCCGCTCCAGAGACTGCCAAGCTAATAACAATGCAAATTTTGTGCATGAGGGGGAAAATAGTTTACTACCTTCTACTGAAGGGGCAGCACTACCTACTGCTGCTGCAGCTACTGCTACTACATATATATATATATA